CGCTCGTGCTGGTGATGGTTATCGTCGTCGTGGCTATCGATGATGAGGGCGTCACTGTTCGTTCTATAACAGCTGTCAAAGAGAGAAATCATCTATGAATACATACGTAGGTATGTATGGGATGGTAAACATAAAATGTAACGAACAGATAAACATGTGGTAAACAGAGTTAAGTTGATCCAAGTTGATTGATAAATCGCAGAGGCGCGTTAAGTTGGGCGATACGTGCGGGGCGAGCGGGGAGGGCGTTCGCTCGTGCAATATTCAGGCTCGCGTTGGGCGGCAATTTGCAAACTGTAGCAGATTAACCGGCAGATTTGGTCGGGCTGCTCCGCCGGCGCCATTGCACCATACATTATTTATTGTTAAATCTGACGGTAAACTGTTTTGTGCGATAGATTTTAGCTCCGCGCGCGAACAAAATGGACTGTTAATCTATTATTTAATCCACTAGCAAACAAGCTTCAGTAGCGTATTATCAGATTTTCGTAACGCGGTTTTTGAATTATTTATTAACATATTTTGCTGAATCATTAAAATAGAAATCCTAAGATTTAAATAACATTTACCATTACCTCGTTGACGTAAATAAATACGATAGACAAACTAATAAGTCTAAACTGCATAACGCAGAGTTGCTTCCCAGAATACACAAAATTACCTCGCTCAGTTAAACTCTGATTCAGTTTAACTAATAACTAACTTCCAAGTTTGCTGCACATTGTTTTACTTGCAACGAATTTATTTGAAAACAAATAAAGGAGTTTCGCTTTAATCGTCAGTTTCAATAAGCACACAAAAAGAACAGTATTCACGCCAAAATTGGCGGTTTCGATATAGAAAAATTCGACTGTGCTGTAACTTTTTGATGTATGTATGGATGGATGTTCCTTAGAAGGTATTTCTATGACAAGCACTCTAGAAGAATCTGGCAGAACATAGGCCACTATCTTTCTTTATACCGCGCAGACAGAGTAGCATGCAACAGCTAGTTTTATATTAAAATTATTTTTTTTTTAAGTTTATTCGTTACAAACAAAAATACAATTTTTTCCTTATTATAATATTAGTGTAGATGTAGTTAACACAGTGTTCTGTGTATCCTCCTAATTGGCCGCGGTTTGCGATTCTCTTTAACTGACAGTAGAGCGTCGGCTACTGTCGATTAATCTACCCAATTACAGATATTTGAACAAGCACTAATTGGATCTGTTCGCGGACCGCTTCTGATTACTCTGCGTATAATTCAGGGGGATTTAACGTTTCGTCGAATTGGCGCCCAACGTGGGACCGAGTACAGCTAAAAATTTTTCATTTAAATATATTTTAAACTGTCGTGATTTTATAAATTAATTTAAGTTAGTAAGCCTATAATCATTTTTATACAAGATTTTATAATTCGGATCTATATATCCAGAGAGTTTCAGGAAAATGGAACAGTAAAGTTTATTTTATCATGTTGATAAACGTCAAATACTTAAGAAATCAGCTGTCGCCCGCGACTCCGTCCGCGCGGAATTAAAAAAACATAATTAGTAGCCCATGTCTTCTACCAGACTATGTTCTATATGTATGCCGTTCTCGAAATACCTTCTAACAAACATCCATCCAAACATTCGCATTTATTATATTAGTAAGATATTTTTTGTGTTCAATCAACTTATCTCTATGTAAATTGTACGTTAAAATATAGTCCTACAGCCGTGTCGCTGTGGTGACATAACGTCGGATGTGACAATGTTTGTCGGTGCTGTAGAGCGTGACAATTTAACGAGCAGGTCTGCGGGCTGCGGGATGCGGGCTGCGGAGAGCGTGTTTGCAGACAGGCGCGCGGGCAAACACGAGGGAGACATCTAGCAGATTAAACGAACGCTTTACATTCGCTTTGCATCGCCTCGCCTCGCTTTGTAGAATAGTTTAGTCAGATATATTTATTTGCATTGCCTTTAGGTGCAATTGTAAAATAAATTCAATAAATACTTTTTCTAATATATAGAATAATAATAACTATGTTTGGACAAAAAGTAGTTTTTTTCTTTTATAATTTAATGGCTTTGCGTTATTTATATATGAAATTGTTGCACTTGTACCGATCAGACTCGTCTGTCGTCAAGTGTAGGGAATTTGGGCAGATGATTTGGTATTCCGTGTGAGCGTGACGAAGCGGGATTAGCGGGACAACGAGACAGCGGGACAGCGTGACGGCGGGACAAAGCGGGCTTACCAGCCATCACGCCAGTTTAAGTCCGGTGTTGGGACCATTAGCCGATCACGCTTGTAAATATTTTATTATGGGTTATTATTTTAGTTAATTTATAATTTTAATAATAATAATTAAATGTTTTACTGTGGGTTTCTGAAACCAAAATATCTATATAAAACATATCGTCAGCCCTGTCATTATCTTTGACAAAACAGAGATAAAAATGTTTTAAACGGAAACTTTGGAATCAGAAACCCACGGTTAATTATTTCTGGATTCTATTAACACGTTGACGGACAGTAGGAACAAGCGAAGTTCGAAAATTGACACTATATGTTTTTGTGATTTTTAGAATGTTAGAAGTATAGTTTTACTCTTTCTGCTTAAATAAACTTAATTTTGATTAATTTAGTACCTTTAATTAGGTTGCGGCTATAACCGTCATGGCGCCAGCGGACTCTATACACTAAGTGATAGGACGATATATAACAGGTGAAATATGAACTTCAACCTAAAAAGATGTTTTCAAAACACGACACTATGCTTCTACGTATACGCCAGTAAGTGCACATTTGTGCTGCTATAGCCGTAGTGTCTAAAAACGACCGTTTCGTTTTGGACGGCTATAGCAGTCATGCCACATTGTGAACTTCGCTTTGACGGCTATAGCCGCAATTGTCCGTCAACGTGTTAATATGTTTATCAATGCTATAAATAAAGAATTAACAGAATGTCTACCAATGAACGTCTAAATCAATAACTCCAATATCAAAGTAGGGTTTTTTTTAATATAAAATTGTGATGTCTTCCTAGGAGAACAGCCGTTCAATACGACCAGTCTCCCGTGGGACAACGATAGATAGAGCGGGAAGGAATACTCAAATCATTGCTGACAAAAAAATGCTTTGAATAAAAAAATATGATTACGTTTGCTTTAGTATTTTGATTAGCAAGAAATCGGAACTATCGTTTAATTTAGTTTATACTGCTTTCTTGTAGCTTTAGGTCTTGTATCTAGATTTTAAATTATTCGTACATACTAAAACTTTATCATTTAGTGTCTAGGTTTTAAACAATACCTATAAAGAGATTGTGTAATATTAAACGGCCGAGTTTTGTCCCTGATGTCGTTTTGTGCAAATTTTCTTTATAGCCGTTTGTGAATTTTATTCTGTCAGATTTTTAAAGAGAATATTTATGTGAGCAGAGTACGGGGGAGTTCGTTCTGGGATGATTGTTATACATTTTTAACGTGCTTCGTCAACTTTGTCATTCATTCAGTTTGCGTTCAATGATCGTTGTATGTGATTAATGATTTAAATGAAATAAGACATTTTTATGTTACGATTTGAATTTGACCATTTTTTATTTTATACGTTATTCTGCTCCATGGAAATGGCTAGGCGCTTTGAGTAATGTAATAATAATAAAGCAGCCGAAATTAATTTAAAATAGCAGTAAGGGAAGCATAGTAAAAATGAACAAGATGAAAGTTAACCCGCGTTGTATAGATTTAGATTATATCTACGTGAACAATTTCAATGATGAAATGTTAAGTACACGAACAGTTTCTTACGAGGGTTTGTTTTGTATGAATTGTTAATGAGCGCGGTCACCCGGCCCTTTGACCGCCCCCCTCCGCCCGCCTCCCCGCACACACCCCGTGGTACGTCACACCACAATTTCACAATTCTGCTACTTTTATTAAACTTATTTAAATTAATATTTGGTTGTTCACATCGCTCGTGCAATGTTCGATGTAAGCAATCACCACCAATAACCGAATTAAATATAGATTAACAATGTATTTTCGGACCGAATCGGACATCAGTTACAAAAGTAAACAAATCCGTAATTAAATCGTATCATCGTATCGGGCGCGCGTATATAAATGTTGTGAGCGAGGGCGGGCGGGCAGTCGCTGAGCGACGCCCGCCGGAGGATGTTGTCCCTGTACCGCGCGTGGCTGGGGCCGAGCCCGTGCGTCGCGCGGCCTGCGCCCCCGCCTGGCGCGCACCGTCCCGTGCCGCGGCGCGCCAAAGCACCTTCGCCCTCCCCCCCACCACCGCCATCTCCCAC